TTTAAACCCAGGAGTTCATCCATCAGGGAAAAGAAAAGTTGGTTGTGTAAGTCCAGAGCACGGCTATGGCCAGATTTATAACCCAGAGGAGTGTGCTGGGTGGAGGGGGCAGATTCTTTCCCGGATGGCAGTGGAACTCTGGTTTCTGGATGTGGAAAACGCTCGGGTTTTTCCTGCCAGCGCTGTCCTCATATCACAAGATGGACACCAGCGCCATTCGGATGCCTTGCCACGGCAGCTTGGGCTCCAGAGGAAGAGAAACTGGGAGAATCGAGAAGCACACGAGTAACTCCCCGCCTCCACCCCAAGGGGTGCCCTCCGGGGTGACTGGAGTTGGGAGGGGACAGTATCAGCGGGGGATTGCCAAATACATTTCAACTTCAGATCTATAACGAATAATTTTTAGCCTAAGTATGCCCCATACAAATTTAGCGACCCGTTTTTTATTTGCATGTTTTTTTGGCTAAATCTGGCAACCCAGCAGGGTGGCAGCAGATGGCCTGAGGGTCAGCAGAGAGAAATGCACGAAAGTCTTCCTCCTCAGGCTCGCCGTTCCCAGGCCCTTCCCAAGTCTCCGTGAGCGAGCAAGGAAGGAACCTGCTGCAACGGGGACCAAAGCAGGCTGGGGGCGCACCCCACCCCAGCCAGCGTGCGGGACCTGCCCAATTGCAGCTTCCCCGAAACTGGCTGCAAGAGGATAGTGGCCCAGAGCAGACGGCATACGCCTTTCCCGGATTCTTGAACCTCCCCCCGAGCGCGCTGCCGAGGTCCCTGTCCCCCGCGACTGTTCCGCCACACCGCCCTACACACACCACCGGGCTTCACTGCGCACCTGGCCGACCCCACTGCCCCAGGGGGAAGGCCCAGAGCCGTGAATACCCTCAGAGTTCTGCCCCTGGAGCCAGCCCTGGCTGGGGTATGGTTTGGAAGAGATCACTAATATATTATCACTTACTCCTTTCTCCTCTGAGTGGTTTTTGTTTTTTACAGTGCAACTCTGAGTTGGGCCCCTGGCCCCAAACCAAGCCATCTTAAAACCAGAGCTCGTTTGTAAGTTCATAGGCACATTTCATGAATGACCTTGAAGTCTTTCCCATTTTTTCCGTTTTCTGCTAGCTTATCGTCTCAGAGGGTTTCCCAGCCCTGTCATACTTCAGGTATGTCTGTTTGTCTTTCTTTTTTAAAAGTAAAGTTAAAATGTAAAAGGAACTCAACTGGACAGGACCCAATCAAACTGGAGCTGAGAGGCCCACAGCAAGCATAAAGATGCTATGAGGTGCAGGGCTGGAGGTAAAATAAAATAAAGGTGGTATTGCAGAAACTCCTAACTTCTCTCACTATAGGTGTCTTGTTCATCCCTTTTCAGGAAAAATAAACAGAAAAGGAGACCTTACTATCCTATTTGATCCTATCCTTCTATTCCTAACCAAATATGATGTTTTTTTAATTTTTCTTTAAGATGACTTTAAAGAACTTGTGTACATATTTATTTTTATGGCAGATGTAGACCTAGGAAGAATCTATAGCTACAGCTCATTCTTCTCACAGCCAGAGAAGACCCAGGACACTGTCCTGAAGGAAATGGTGAAGGTGGGGGAAGGGAGCCACAATACAGAAATGTAACTTTAGCTCTCACCTTGGTCTTGACCCTTAACTCTCCTCAGCTCCCGTGAGCCCAAGTCCTGAAAGGCTGGCTCGGCTGGTTAAGGCTGCTGACTCAGATACACTAAGAGCTGAAAGGTATCACACTTCCTGGGATATTTCCATGGGGGATGATTGGAGGGCATGTGAGGAGGATAAAGACAGAATTTAGGAGAGTAAGTGAATCAATGTTATATATGTAAAGGAGCTTGAATTAGAATTTTGTGCTTTATTAAATCTAATAATTACAGGCCAGTCACAGATGATAACAGAGGCTGGGGGAAATGTACAACCAAAAAGAAAAAAGAATGCTTCGATCCACAGTTAGAAATAAAAACATTAGACATCAGAAATTCTCCTTAAAATCATCACCACATGGAAAGGGACATTCAACACACTATACCGTTAGATAAAATAACCCGCAATCCTTTAAAGACTCTGAAGCAGAACCTGGAGAGTTCTTCCACCTACAAAGCTGAATTTTGGTGTTAATGCGGCACTCTCTTAACGGGGTGTTTTTTCTCCAGAGGTGCCCAACAGACAGACCTTCCTCTAGGGTATGTGCTTTTCACCTGCATGTGTAGCCAACAGCAAAAAAGTCTCCACAGCTACAGACTAAAGGAGCTCTTTGCAAAAGAACCAACCATGTTTTAGACACAGAGATCGCAGTTCTCCATAATTTGCCAGTAGATAGTTACAGATTCCTAATGGTCTGTGAACTTACAGTATATGCGGACATACCATCTAAATAAAGCTTCATTTATTTCTCTACATGCAGTGAACTAATTGTCCAGGAGTGTCTAACATTCCTCTAAATATGCATGGTATGTTATATATAAATAGATAATAAGAACAACTGCAAAAAGATATAATACATACAGCAAACTGTAGTCTCATCCAGGCAATTTTCTCTTGAACCCCAAATGGCCTTTCTTACAAAGCAATGCATGGAAATGACCCACTCACATGCTTGCCTTCCTAATGGAAACAACTATCTGTTCTGGTCCTGCCCACCCCCGCCAACGTCATCGGATTGATTGGCATTTTTTTCATGGAATTATGGGGTCACACCAATGTAAAAAAGAAAATAAATGTTTTTCATACTCACACATGTGAATGTGCAAGGTATGCAACTAACCAGCTGAAAACCAATCCCTTGGTCCCTGGTGACTCAGTCTCTCACAGCCACCACTCTGCCCTCTCCCTCTGGTAAATCCTATTCGCCTCTGCAATTCCGTTTTCAGTTTGGAGGGCTCAGCCTACCCCTGAATACTTCAGATAAGGGAGTACCAGGTCTGGTGTGTCCAGCTGAAGTCAGTCTCCCTCTTTAACTCTCCCAAACCTGTATCCTTCTGCTACTCCTCTGCCATTCCTCCTGCCCCCACTACCCACCTCCTGAGGTTGGTTTTGGTTTTGTGACTCTAGGAACCGCGCACTTCGGGTCTTCCAAAGAATGGTTTGAAGGGCACCGGTTGTAAACAGAATCCCCTCTTGGACTAGGATCCACAAATCCAAGGCCCTATTACAGGGGTGCGGCTGTGAAGGTGGCCACTGCAAAATGCTACCTACTACTGACATGAACTCAGATTCCTGCTCTGGTTCTGGGGGAACTGGAAACAGGGAAACAGGAAGATTCAGAAAAATTATTGGCATGGATCAACTTCTAGAACTGAGACAAAACTGTCCTACTTGCCTGTTCTAACCTAAAGGAGAAAAGCACAATAAACCTTCTATCTCTTTTCCTCCTATTCCTCTGAGGCAAACCTACAAATATGAAGAGATCAGACTAAAACAAGAGAGACAACTGGGATAGAGGGCATTACTTGAGAGAAATGCTTACACCCTACCTTGCATTAAATATCCACAAAAGCCATGTTCAGCAAATTCTCTTTTGTCTTAAAATATCCAGTTGTGCTCCTCACATAAGATGCTTCTCAGAGCTTCAGGCCTGGAGAGCACAACTGAGCAACACGGCAGCAGAACTGTGCCTGCCAGGCTGCCTATCACCTCAGCCGCAACCAGTGAGTCTGCATTTCCCAGCTGCACACAGCAGTCAACTGTTTCTGAAAGCCCCTCTCCACAAGCCAGAAGCGTTTGCAGACTTCCACAAGCCCCTTGGAGGTGTGTGTTGGCTCCCTCCCCCTCAGGCAGAAGCTCTACCACACTCTTACCTATGGGGCTCTGGGCCTTATAGGGCCTTCCCTCTTGAATTCCAGCGCCCCCCTTAGCCCCCACCCTGAGAAGATGGGCCGTTTTCCTTTGCATATTTGCCACAACGAAAGGGAAACACCACACACAACTGGATTCCAAAAGTCTAAAACCAAAGGAGTGCTTGGGTTGGGCAGGGTAGCAAGCTAGAGATAACCCAAAGAGAAAGGGGCCTCAACTAGGGCCTGCAGACCCCAGAGACTTGGAGGAGGGAAAAGGATGGGATCACGGGGGTGGAGAAAACCTCTAGAGCTCAGAGCAGACCCACCCTCTACAGCACAGCATTGGAGGAGAGAAGGGAGGAGAGGTAAGAGGAAGAGAGAGAGCCTTTGCTCCAAATCTTGGAAAGTGAGGCCCAGGCCCACCTAGAACCGGGGAAAAGGGCTCTGTAGACGTGGCCTCCTTCACTATAGGTCGAGTTTTGTTTGTAGTGTTTCTTTAAACTATGGAGACGGGAGAAGGCGGCCTGAGGAACTTACTGAAGAGCCCGCGCAGTTTTGCAAAGGAGCTCATTCCGGGACGCACCAGATTCTCGGTCCTCGCTTATCAGTTTAGAAACCTCCCTGGGTCCTTTCACCTACTGCTTCTAAATGGGGCTTCTTTCAACAAATTGCAAGACGCTGGAGACCACAGTGAGCTACTAGCCACGCTTCGGGTTCGCTCCAGTTCCCTCGGGTCCAGAAGAACGTCCAGCTCAGAGTCAGCCAAACGTTTGGGCCTTGGCTCCGTCCCTGCACCTCCCCGTCCCAAGCTCTCTAAAAAGTCCTAAGCCGGGAAAAACCCTGCCGCACAGTGATGCATATCTTCTCATGGATTTTAATTTGGTCCGATCACAAATTAATTTAGCGGGGTTTAGTTACCCGCGACATTTCTCTTTAATCTGGGGGTAATACTCAGTGAGCCCGCACAGTCCTGTCTTTTAGCTAGCATAAGGCCACTCTCTCGCGGATGTCTGGGTTCCACCTGCCTGATCCAGACGGAAGGCCGGCTGCTGCCCGGAGAAAAAGAACGCCTTGGCGGACTTTGGGGAGGAAGGCCCGGCAAGGCCGATTTCCCCAAATTTGCCTCTGGGCCTCCCAGGCAAAGCCGCAGCAGGAGCTCCCAAAGGTTCGCGCCCGCGCGCCCGACCCTCGCCCAGCAGACGCTCTCACCTGGCTTGGCCAGCGGCGCCTGCAGCGCCCCGGACTGGGGCTCGGCGGCCCAGCGCAGCGCGGCGGCAGCAGCCAACTCGGCGGCAGGGCGCGGCGGCTGAGACGGCTGAGACGTTGGCGACGGCTGCGGGGCAGCGGCCGCGGCGGTGTCGCCGGACGGCGGGGGTCCCGGCAGGGCGCGCAGCGAGTCTGGGATGAGGCTCTCGAGGCTCTCGTTGGCCTGCTGCCGGCGCAGTGCCACCTGCGCAGCCATGACCCGCTGCCGCTCGATAATGAGGATGCACTTTTCGCAGGTGCAGTCTTTGAAGCGGCAGTAGCGCTTGTGGCCCTTGAGCCAAGACAGCACGCCGTGGTTGCGGCAGCGCGCGCACTTGGGCGTGCGCTGCAGGGGTGCCCGCGGCGGCTGCGACACCGGGCCGCCCATGTACAGATAGGGGGAGCCGTAGCCGTTCATGCCCCGGGCTCCCGGAAGAGCTGGCGGGCTGACGGCGCGAGCGGGCCAGGAAGCGCTGGACAGTGGGTCTGGGAGGCCAGCTCAGGAGCGGCCTCCGGGCGGCGCGGTCCTTGGTCCCGCAGTCCCGGCGGCCGCGTGCGTTCCGGGACGGCCGGAGGGGCAGCGGGCGTCTTTACGGCTTCTGCGGAGCTTGCAGACCAGCCTGCCGCTGGTACTCCGCCAATCCCACGCCGGTCGCGTCTCCGCCAGCTCCTGCTTTGGCCGGCACGTCCTCCCTCAGCGAGGCGCTTAGGCAGCTGCAAGGAGCCGGAGAGAGATCTAGTTAAGGTCTGAGCCAGCTTGTCTGCAGCTTCCGCGCGCCGCTGCTCGGCCCCAGCACCTCCTCCACCGCCCTCACTCCCCCCACTCCTCCTCCCTCCCACTGCAACCCCCACCCCCGGAGTCCCGGTTTCTTTCCACTCCCCACCCCACCCCACCCCACCCCACGCCTTCCTCTTTTCTCTTGCCCCTGGAGTTCCTGCACATCACCTTCCTTGCCACCTGCAGCCAGGGCCGCTCCCGCGGGGGCGCTCACGACCCCCTCCTCCAAGCTGTCTGCGCTGCCCCTGTCCGGGCGGGAGGGACTGTGGCGCTCCAGGACGCAGTATTACACATGGGGCGGGGAAGGGGAGGGCCAGCGTGGTGAAGGTGGGGGTGCCGGTTGGAGAGTGAGGTGGCCGTTCCCCTTTCCTCCCTTCCCTTCCCTTCCTTCCCTTCCCTTCCCTCCAGGCCTGATTTGGCGGCACCGAGCCTGAGGCTGCTTTTATCCCAAGAGTTAGCTGCAGAAACTCGGCTCCGCGAGAACCGGAGCCTACCGTGGACTTGGTTTAGAAAATTTTGACTCTTTTTGATTTCCTTTTGCAACTTTTTAAAAAAATAAATCGTGCTGCTGCAGAAGAAAATAAATGTTTCGAAAACCTGCTGGCCCAAGGATGACAACCCATTTTGTAGGCACAGTCCGCTCTCTCTGGCGCTGAGCTAATTTCCTTAACCTCCTCCCATGTTTTAATGAACAATCTCAGTCCTGAAAGGAGGGGGAAACGCTCACGTGGAGATGTTGCTTAAGTGCTGGGTCTAAACTTTCAGAATGACGGCTCAAAAGTTACTGGATATGATCTTTCCTCTGCCCAACAGCCACTGAAACATCAAACGGAGACCTCGCGTCACCCAGTTCAAATCCCCACGGACTCGACTTAGTCATGAATAGGGACGGCGCCATTTCTCTCCCCACCCCATGGTCTTTGAGTAGGGGTGGAGGGGGCCCTTGCACAAGATGGCAACATGTAACTTTGTTGAAATTGTTATTTCAGTGTTTCTAAACTCGTAAGTGCCGTTTTGGCCTAATGCAGACTACCGCCAAAAGCACAGGGACGGCTAAACACCCCCTCCAAAAACAAAACAAGGCAGCCCAAGGGAAGGCCGCTTTTCTCCACCCTGGAAGCAAATAAGCAACCCGAAAACGTCCCTCTGTGTTTGCTGTGAATTCAAGTAAAGCACCTCCCTGAGTCATAGCAGCCGACCCTCAGCGTAGAAGGGAGACTTCAGGAAGGGAGGAGGATTGAAAAGGGACCCAGGGTGTATGTGTTTCCCTAGAAGCCCTTAGAGCCGCCCTCACCCCCCCGGTTTAGGTCAGTCCTGGAGGTGGGGATCGCTGGATGCTGACCTGGTCGGGTGTGGGCAGGAACCCTTGCGAGAAAACGCTAAGCCTGGGAGGCCTACCCCAAAGCCCCATGGGGCACGGATCCCTCGGTCTTTTCCCTTAACTCCCCTCCTCCCAACGCCACCTCAATCCTTCCTTTTCTCCCAATCTTCGGTCGAAAACAAGCCCTAAATCACTACAATTGGAAGGAACTTAATAAGCTCTCTGGACTGGAGGTAGAGGTCACCGGCAGCCCTGTAGGCCAGAGGCCGGGAAGTAGGGAGTTGGCCGAGAGTCGCTTTACATGACAGAGCAGAGGGCCTAGAATGACACTGAATCTGGGAATGTTAGTTTGCGCTAAAAATCTCCAGGTCTCCTGGCTACGCGGGGACTATGGACTTTTTTCCAAAGGCCAAATTTCTCGGGACTTTCTCCAAATGGTCAGTGAAACCGGGACTATAAACCTTGGGAGAACAGTATTTTTAGTTATTTATTTTTTAAGGAAAGCAGCGGAGTTCTGCACCAGGTTTTGATCGCAGGGGGACATTCCCGCTAGCAAGGCGACCCCCTTTCGTCCCTTGGTCACCTAGCCACCCTATCTCTTTGCCACTCGGTCTGGCATTATTTGGTCCTGGGCCTCGTTTCACTCCAGTGCACATCGGGCGCCGAGATCTAAATACTCATTTGATATAGCATAATAATCCTTTTCTCATATTTGATGGGAATGTTTTCCATATCCCAGTATTTGACAACATCTCCCTATAGGGACAGGTTTGTATTTATGTTGGTAAAATGTCCCCTGCCTCCAAGTCTATTGTAACCCAACACCTGACAACCCCGAGTCCCATTTCTGTTTGCAGAAAAGGTTTATTCAAGCACATAATGGGATCCCAGCAGAAAGCCTTTTAGAACAAGGGGCTATGGTAAACTTCACCACATGAACTCCGTTTCCAGGGCTATTAAGCTTTTAATTGGAAAATAGCAGAGGAAATTTCAAGGTGACTATAACGTGTTAGCAGTTAGTGCAGAGAAGAAAAGCCTAAGCGGGAATGAATGTAGAAAGCATATGGTCCGAATCACATTTAGGAGGAGCGGCCTGCTTCTTCACTTATGGGAAAAATAATCAAAGACATTGGAAGGGGAGAGGGGAGGATTACAAGTAAATGTAACCTCACTCGGCTGGACCCATTCACATTCTTCTCTGGGTGGGGTGTGTTTTCAAACCACAATTAACTGGGTAGAATTGTGACAGATACTAACAGTAAAAAGCTAAAAGATAATGTGCGTATGTGGTTCTTTCCCTTGGTGCGCACACAATCTCACGGGTGTGTGTAAAAGCTTGAGGAATGCAGGTGTCCTTGCTGAGAAACTGAGGATGTTCTGACTCCAAATCTGGGAGTCTCGCCAGCTGCTCCTCACCTCAAGAAACAATCAAAAGGACAGTTTCATATTGTCCTGAATGTATAATACATCAGGACATTTTCTGCTTTGCTGGATTCTCATGGAGGGGGAGGTCAGGGTTCCTATTTTGTCGTTTTAATCGCGACCACGGTGACGCTGGAAGCCGGGGGGCGTGCAGAAAGCCTTTTGAATGCAGGAAAAAAGAGCCCTCTCTCCCCAAGTATGAACTTAGCTCTCACACTGTCCGTGCCTCTAGGCATCGCTCTTGGGCCAGCTTCAAATTGAAAGCGGGGAACAAACGTCTAGTGAGGCCTCGGTGAGGCAACAAGCAATCGATTTCTTGAGGTGACAATAATGCCCTTGTCTCTTTCAATTAATTGGGAAGAGCTCTTGAGCGCTCCCCAAGATACCCCGAAGCTGTCCTCTGGGGTGTGGGGCAGGAGCCGCCTGCGCCCCGGGGAGACTGGATCTGCAGGTGACGGGCCTGGGGATACAGTTAAGCAGAAAGAAGGTGCTGGCCGGTCCTGTCCTCACACCGTTTTGGCCGTGGGCGGCCGGAGGCTCTCCGTGGGCCTAGGCCTTTGGGAGCAAACAGAGGCGCAGAAGGGCCTGCAACCCCACAGGTCCAACGCAGCCCCGGCCGGTGCTACTGCTTGGTCCTTCGTGTTCTCGAACTTTCGAAGCTAGCAGCGAGTTGAGTTTGGGAAGGTATGGTCCCAAGGTGCAGATTCCTCAGAACTAGAGCAGACACAGGCCTCTCCCGCCCCCACCTTTTGGTGTGGGGTTGTCGCTTCTGGATTTGCTTCCTCCAAGACACCCACTGAGCAGCGACCTCAACTCCAGGCTTTCGAAGGAAAGGACTGGAAAAGCGCTCCCCACCAGGCCTGGGGCCAGGCCCGGTTCCCCGGTAGGCCCTGGGCACAGCGGCTCCCTCTTGGCTCTGGCCTCCGGACCCAGGAGCGCCCACGGCCTCGGCCTGTCTGTCGCCCTGTGGATTCCCTCAGACCCGGGAGCTGGAGGCTCTGGCCCTCAGCATCGGAGCTCGCTCTGGGCTCCTCGGCTGAGTCGGACCCACCCCGCAGGGTAGGAGGGCTGGAGGAGGGCTGGGGGCGGCAGTCACAGCTCCCTGTCATTTCGCAAGAGGGTCACCGTGGGCAGCCTGAAGACCCCGTCTGCCTGCTGTGTGAAAGATTTTTTAAAAATGTACCCAACAACGTAAAGTGAGAACAGCACACGTTTATCCTACCCCTGACTTTAAAATTTAAAACAGTACCAAAAAAAAAAAAGGCCAAGAAAATCTTTTTAGGTAATTAGAGCAGCATTCAAGGGACAAGGCAGTTCTCCCCAGGGTTCCCTCTAGCGCAGTTCTTCCCAGGAAGAGCCCCTTTTCCAGAACTCTCTTCCGCCTCTCCCCTCACCCCCTCCCTTGCAGTCTCGGTACAAAGCCCCACTTCTCAGGGAAAGTGGGAGAATGGGCGGGCTTCCAGGAAATAAGTCCCAGCACGAGTAAAAAGCCTGGGGAGTAAAGGGGCGAAAGCGCCGGAGTTGCTCGCATCCCAAGGAAAATGGGTGCGAACACTGTGTACCCAGGCCAGACCCGCGAGAGAATAACGCGGCGCTGCGTACTGCGCGAAGACCAGAGCGGCGCCCCAAGCCGAACGATTCAGGGTGAGTCTCTGCACTTTGCCCGAGACAGGGCTCCCTGGGCTGCGCGACTTCCGGAGCAATCGGGGTCCCGCCCACTCCGCCAGCACCCCGCCTCCAGCCCAGCTCGCCCCGCCTACCCGCCCAGGTTCCTCGCCAGCTGTCTGGGCCGCAGCTTCGAACCGTGGCAAAGTTTGCAGGTTGTTTTGCCAGGGGAGACTTAACGTACAATTGGTTGAGTCGAGCCCTTTCGAGTTTCTGTGAGGGGGTTGGGGGAAGAGTAGTCTTTTAAAGGCGAGTCCTTGGCAGCGTAGGTCTCAGACCTTGTATACGTGTCGGTGTGCGGAGGGAGGAAGGAGGGTTAGAGCACGGGCAAGTTTCTGGAGAAATCTTTCCAGAGGCGAAACGGCCTAGGGCAGATAGCCCCCGACTCCATCTGGCCGGGAGGACAGGGCCAGTTGCGGGGAGCCAAGGAAAATCCCTCTCCATCGACACTGCTCTCTGGGGGGTTTTGTGTAGCGCGAATAGCATTTTAGAAAGTTCTTGTAATACCTCTTGATGCAAAGCGTCAGGTGTACGTGTGAAACCAGTTCACTTAAGTTCATGGGAAGCGGAGAGGGGGCTCGAGTTCTATGGGTGGATGGGAGTCCTGTTTCCACGAGGTGCTAGGGAGCCGGCGGAGCCGCCTAGGCGGGTCTGGCTCACTCATCTGCCCCGAAGTGCGATTTCGTGCGTGGGTTGCGGAGAAAGCCCCACTGTGGGTATGGCAATGGCTGTGGCGTGAGGAAGCGTGTCACCAAGGGCTTTTTCCCTGAAGCCCTGGCTCTGCAACGCGTAATTTGCGGCAGTAGTCGATTGAGAACCAAACGCACTGGGTGGGCTGCCGGCCCCGGGACCGCGTCCACTCTAAGTTGGGAAGGGTTGCTTTCGCCCCCGGCCACTGCGGGAGCTGCAGGCGGCTCAGGAGGAAGATGCCTGCTTCGTTTGCCCATAGCCCCATGTCGCGTGGCGGCAGCTTCCTCGGCTCTCAGAAAAGGCAGGCCAGCAAGACTGCCTCGGTTTTCCCGCGCCAGAGCAACAGATGTGCCTGTGAAAGCTCAGTAAGTGCCGCCCTGGCAGCCTGCCAGAGGAGCACACACTGCCCGACATGCCCACACTTGCACAGTTGTACGCACTCCTATACTGCACACACCAGGAATACGGCCGCGGAAGGATGCGGCCTTACTTACACCAGGTTTCCTTTCAAGGAGGCAGAGCTGTGAAAAAATGACCGCCCCTCAAATGTGTATTGAAATGTTAAAAATTCAGCAGTCAATACTTAGTTGCAATGCTCTGCTTTGTGTCCACAATTAGGTAAGTTCATAATACTGCACACCTTGGCCAGGCCCTAGGTCTGCCTCGCACCCCCTCCCTAGCGGTCAAGGATGAACAACCGAGGAGCAAACGGATCGAGTCACAAGGCAACTTTTAGGGGGCTATTGGAAGGAGCGAAGGCTGGATCTTCCCACGCCTCCGCCTGGGCCCGTGGTGGTCCTGGGGCCGGCCCCCCCAGTAGTGTGGCCCTGCTGGAGCGGGAACTCCAGTCAGGGATCCCACCGCGGGGGCGGCGGCCGTCCGATCAGAGTCAAACTTGGCGTCAGGCGCGGCAGGTGGACTCTTGCGGCCAGGAGGGTAGAGGAGCCTCTCGAAGGACGGGCGCTGCCCACCCGGCCTGGTGCCGGAAGCAGGCCCGGATACGCGGTTGCGCAACCGGAGCCCGGCCCTTGGGGCGCACTAGGGGCCAAGCGGGTGCTCTGTCAAGGCTCTGAGAGCGCTGAGACGCTAATCCGGGCTCCGCCTGGCTTTCCAGAAATGCTAGGGCACCGAAGGGGCTGTGCTCGGAGGGAGCATTACCCGCCTTGAGGGGACTTGCCGAACTTCTCCCTTCTCCAACAAAACCAGGCAGTGTTAGTGTGTTGGGGGTTAACTACTGAACGGAGAAAACTGGAGGACTCCTGGATCCACAGAAGCTGGGGCTTTTCAAAGAAATGAGAGGGGTCTGGGCAGTGAGCAGCGAGTGCCCAGGTGATCGAGGGATCTCCATCGCCAAAGACGCCACCAGAAATGCCTTGAAGGTGGCGACTCCGCGTCCGGGTCCTTCCCTGCGCTCTCCGCAGCCTCTCGGCGTCGCCGTCACAATAGCTACAGCTACAACCGCCCAGAAGGGCACAGGCTGCAGTAGCAGCAGCCTGACAAGTGTGATAAAATGATCTCCCTTAACTAAACTCGTAAAGCACTGGGCAATAAAACTCAATCTTCTGTAAAATCCAATTAAGTCATTATCTGACTGATTGTATCTTTAATTGAAAACAGAAGTGACAGTAAATTTCTGTGATATATCAGGATCAATCGATACCGCTATACGATTCAGCCCCAAGAAGTGATTTATAATGTCAAACCTATATAGGTAACTCCACATTATTCTCTCTAAAACCACTGGTGGATGAAATTAAGAGTAAGTGCATTTAATAAAAAACAAGATGGTCAGGTTATTGATTACAACAGATGGGGGTGAAATCAAATAGATGTTTTCAAAGCACAGAGCGAAGAAAATACAAGTAATTTCTTTTTTCCTGTTTAATATCGCTCACCAAATATACACACAAGAAAATTCAGTCATCAATAACATTTTTATTTCAGGTACAGCTGCAACTACAGAACAATGAATTTTTTTAGACTAGTTTCATTTCAGGATGGCTTCTGTTACATAAGGAAGTATGCCACAAGCAATTTTTAAACAAAATAATGAACTCAGAAATATCTAGTAACTTTTAAAGATGTACTTATTTTCAAATCAGATTACAACCTAAGGTTACAAAATAATCTAGATTGCATCCATTTTTTTTCCTGTAGTAGAAAGAATGTGTACGATAAACTTGTTATATTATTCTAGAAACAACAGCCAGGAACTTTGCCTTACTGGGGTTACTTTAAATTGTACTGTTTTCAAATTACTCTTTACAGAGAAGGTAGCAATTCCTAAGAGTATTATTTTTTTATTCTGACTATATTTCAGTCATGTTTTGGAAAGGGGGCATGGTTTTTGAGGATGTGGGTTAGAGCTAGACTTTTCCAACAGCAACACAAACACACAGTATTTCCATTTACTGACCTTCTGTAGACTTCTAAAACTATCACTAACTGTGCTCTTTTCTTCTCACCAGTCAGGCTAAATTTATGTTTTTAAAGTTTTGTTAAAATACTAAAATTCAAAAATATCTAAAGCACCTAAGATTTCATTTTAAAACTGAAGTACCTAATAATTATGACATATTTAGGTGCAAACATATTGCTTACTTGAGTGAATTACTGTATTTCTTAAAAACTACGTGTAAACCAATGTCATAAAAAATGAGGGACACAACTATTTAATGTTTAACTCCTTGAGCAAACCACTTAACTCTTGTGAATGGTAGTCACCAATCCTACACTATTCCAAATGTATTTTAGCCTCTGGGCTAAGATCTAAGGAGTATAAACCAAAAACGTTCTCACCATTTAAGTGGACATGAGTAAAGGCAAAATATTAACAACAAACCCTGTGTATAAATGGAATAAGCCTGCTATTCCAAGTGAACCCGCCAAAGGCATGGGGCATGGCTTACTCGTCCTCCTCGATGACCGGAGTAACCGTGAAGCTGCTGGGCTCTGCGGCCGACTCACATTCAAGCACTCCCTTTGTGCTCTCATTACTAATAGGAGAGCTGCTGGAGAGGGAAACCAAGCCAGAATCTTGACTGCTGGGCGGTGAGAATACTGGGAAGTGCGGAGAAACAGAAGAAGAGTGTGTTAAAAGTGGCTAGTATTTCTACATCAGTCTTCAATTAGGTTTCAACAAAGAAAGAGGCACTCTGCATTTCTATTCCCAGTTGTTAGACACTCATTAAAATCCCCAGCACTTCTTTAGAATAAAAAGATAGCATTTTTGCCCCGTATTACCTATTTAACGACAGGGGAAAGTTAGCTAGCAGAATTCCAGTTTTATTGTTAATTAAAGACAAAAAAGTCTGTTCCCCTCTTTGGGGTAACTATTTTCACCCTTCACTGAGCCCCTCTTTTATATAAAGGATGCTAATAGAACCTGTCTTGTCAAATAATCAATCTGACAAATTACCCCAAGCAAGACTCCACCCATGTATTTCCACCATTTGACAGGTAACCCTAGTTTTTCAATATATAGCAAGTGAAGGTGATAGCTTATCAACTTTCCTGTTATTTCTCCTGGATATAGGGACACAAACACTTGGTGGTAGTGGAGGGAGCCAGCAAACATACCATTTTTAAAAGTAAAGAGCAGTAAATGGGAGGGAAACTTTTTAAGACCACAAAAAGTCAAAGAAGTTGAATTATACTACGACACAAAAATAGAACTCAGGTAAAGATTTTAAAAGCAAACCTGTGAACATAAAACTTCTACTAAAACCTGACATTAAATATGAAGGATGCAAAAGTAATAAAGTGCTAAACAATTTTTGCAACCTTACAAGCCACGGTAGATACAAAATTAAAGCAAAAGGGTCTCTGACCTTCTTAACCTTAGCTGAGTTCAGATCCACCCCCAGAACTCCCTTCCTGCCTAGTGTGAATGTAATTAAGGGGAAGCTGCAGTGGTAATTTCTCTCCTCATTAACTTCCTGATTGGTTTCAGCCTCAGGATTCTGCCGGGCAGTAGTTTGTCACCAATTCCAAATGGCCAATCGTTAATACTAATGTTTGTGTAACTAACTGCCAGCATCTGCCACGGCTTCTTGTACAACAATAATGGTGAAAGGGTACATTAGTGCTCCTGTGTTAATTCAGCTTGTGTTCATCAATAGGGAAATCTATGATGTAATTAGCAAAATGCATTGGGAGCTGACTGTTGAAGTCATTTGTAGGGAACTAAATCATAGTAGAAGCTGTACTGGGTCCTGATGTGTTTGCCATCAATACTTATTATGTTTGGAATTTAATAAGGTATATTACCATGCTGAAGAGACCTTTTTACAAGAGAACACCATTTACGCTTGTTATGGGTTTGGAAAAGGTTTGCTGCAGCTAGTGAACCCACACAAAAATAAAAGAATAGGGCTAGGATTTAAGAAACAGACCTTTAACCACTCCACCGGACCAAATTGTTTCAGAAAGCCCCTTTATTCTAATGTGATATATGGATATACAGACAGATGGACAGTTTCATACAGCTACACCTCAATATCCAGTAAGGAAAGGCATCTGAAAACTTAGAAAGTGAATAAATTTGAAAAATAATTTAGGTAATTTCCCAATAAGCAACTATTTTGATATTGACAGTATTTGCTTAGTAACTTAAATAAAATGCAAGGGTAATAGTTTGTAACCTTTTTTTTGGGTAAGAAAGAGCCATTAAATAGTATTATTTTATAAATGCCAATAAGGGTGCATGTGCATATATATATGTATATATAATATATATACATAGATACACATATATAAGTAAAGTAGCAACCTAAAAAACAGGAAATCTATGAATTTTGAAGGCTTCATTTTATTGTAGTTCATAAAAGCTTCTTACTAAGTTTGAATTGTTATATGGATTTAAAATTCCCAGCAAATCTAAGATAAATTATGAATTGTGGTACATGCGCAATGATGTTGCATATATATATACACAAATATACAAGTGTTTTCCAGTGGTGATAGACTTTGCTCTGGTATCTTGCTACTATATAGAGATCTGGGGAGCCTACTAAGAGTTAGCAAGAGTCTAAGACTTCATCTGCCAAACTCCATCCCCATCTCAAAACAGGGACAGAGTTCTGTAAAGAGGCCATGCGAAGAGGATGAACATTTCCTGACTACTTCCTGTATGCCACATACTTGGGTGAGATATTTAATCCTCAAACCATTCACTGGGAGAATGACTTCCTCCATTTTACATACGGACCCTGTGGAAGCTGCCAAGGGCAGCGTGGCACTGGTGAGCCCAACCCGGCACCCTTCAGCTTGCTCTAGGCCCTGCACCATCCCAACCTTGGGGGCCACATTCAGTCACTGGCCCACTGAACCTTCCTAATCTGCGTGTGATTTTAAGGAGGCGAAACAACGGACGCTTGTCAGACTAAGACAGAGGCTATAAAGGAATAGGTAAGTGTTCTCCGGATGTTCCGGATGTTCCGAACCCTGGGCTGGCCTCTGCCTTCAGTCAGCAGCTGATCTAGGAGAGGCCCGTCACCCCAGGCACTCACCTCCCACGCCCTGTTGAAAGGATCTGGGGCTACAAAAGGGAGATGTGGGAATTCTGAAAAAGAAAGGAATTTGGGGCTAGACCCCCCTTTGGCTTCCTCTTGCCTTGTGGATATTTACTTGGAAAGTACTCCCATGACCTGGGGCTACAAGGACATGCAGTTTGTGTCACCTCACAGACTAGGGCCGCTCTGAGCACACTTAATGCATGACGGCACCACAGAGAAGATGCAAATAAATGAACTCAACCTGTTTTGAAATATACCTGTATATTTTAAAGCATTTCTCCACACAAAATTTTAATCCATGTTATTTTACTTCTGTTCAAGGCTTAGCAGCCTTTGAATAATGGACTGTTGAAATTAGGGATAGTATCTGTTGAACTCATTCTGTGTAATACCTCATAAAAGTAGATCCAAGTACATTAAAGATTTCACAAGTGTTTATCTTAGTAAGTAATGTCCAAAATCTCTTTTATTACCATCCTTAAAGGTACCCTCTCCATTTTAATGCAGCTTCATTACACTTTGTTGGGGAGGGGAAGAGCAATAATTGATCATTGTAAATCATGTTATACCAATTAAAAATTCAAAAGTCAAAATTACACTTTTTGCTTTTTAAGTTGATCCTAATGAGCCCTGAGCAAGGCTAATTTCAACTTAAAAGGCTTCTCTTAATTATTTTGTGAAAATGCTAATGCCTAGTGTCAGGGGAACTGTAAGTAAAGGTCTGCTGCTGGTAGCACTAGAAATTGGTTCAATCTTTCTGGACAGCAATCTAGTGACATGTAATAAGAACCATAAAACTGTTCATACCCTCTGACCTGGTAATTCCACTTTGGGGAATAATCCCAAAGAAAGAAAGAATAATGGGCCCAAAGATGCTCAGCACACCACTATCTGCATCAGTGAAGATGTTAGTGCTGTGCGCTGGTGCGGGGGTGGGGTAGCCGCCTTGAGGTTGGGGGGCAGGAAGCATTCACAGGCAATGAACAATTCAGGATTATGCTACCCTGTAATCACCAATAGACTCCCAGTATTTACAGAAATGGAAGAAATGACTTCTGGAGACCAAAGTAGAGACTGAAAAGGAAGAAAAAGGGGTGGGACGGGGGTGGGGGGGTGAGGAAACCCTGCCCATCTGATCTTTTTTATGTTACAATGAAAGGTGGGTAAACCTCTGAGGCTGACCCTTGTTTGAACCAGCAAGCCCAGTATCTGTTTTCTCTCAAGTAGCCTATTTGTCTACAGAAGCTAAAGGGTCTTTACTATTATTTAAAAACAAACAAAAAACCTTACACATAATCACTCTTACCAAGAATGTTGGGGAAAAAACCTTAAGATAATTTCAGCGATACCATCTAAACCATCAGTATTCTTTTTGGAAAATATTGTGTACTGCCAAAAAGCCCCACCTCTCTGAAAAACAAAACAAAAACCACTCTAACTGCTAAATCTTTTGACATTGCAAAGACCCCTGACTTTTAACTTGAATGATTTGTTGGAAGTCAATGGACTGGAACGAATAATTCTCTTCCAGTGATGTGAGAGAACAGGATATTCATGCTTGAGGAAAAAAAAAATTTCTTCGCCTGTATGTTAAATACTATTAAACTCTCACTAAGAAACCATTTAAAAATAAAAACGCAAATGGTATTCTTCAACTGTTAGCAACTCTTCACCTAGATGCTGACAGGAAAAGAAAAAAAGTGTTGGCCTCTTTGATTTCCTGGAGTTTACAGGCCTAAGAATCTGATGAAAAGCTGATGAATATTTCTTAAACAACAAATTCTTCTGCTTCATGATAACCATAGTGTTTGGAAATAAAATCATGTCCAATCAATACCACTTAGCAGATATTTAATGTTTCACAACAGAACTCTTTTCCAGAGTGGAACTGCGGCCCTTCTCACTAACATTCAAAATAATTAGGATTATCTTAGCTGTCCAAAGCTTGGCAGGTTCAGTTTGCACTTTCAAACAGCATTAATTCTTGGCACTCAGAACAAGGGATAAAAGCTAAAGATATGAATGGAGATCTTTATTCAACCTGATCTATCATGGATTAGCTCATTCTTTTCCAGTTCATGCCTGCACTCTAGTTAAGAGGAAGGCTAAGCTGTAACTGATGTAATTAGAAACCACAAGCTGAGAAAAAAATAGCCCCCCTTTTTAAAATCTTCCCCACTTACTATATATTTACTAAAAAAATAATCTTTGAAACAATTAAATGTGTTTTTTTTCCACCTAAGTGTAATTAAAGAGCAGTGACAAGAGATGGATTGTTTAGGACTATGCTTTCCTTGGAAATGTATCTTAATTGTCAGTTCCAATCTAAGACCAATTTGAGAGGGGCCAGCTCTGCACTTTGCATATTGTATAGAGAAGGGGCCAAGCCGCAGTAAACCCAAGTTCCTGTAAATGGAATAAGATAAGGTATCAGTTCTTCTTCCTTGATGTAACTATTGTACCTTGGTAAGCTCTGGGAATTACCATTTTAAAAAGTGAGCTTATAAAAGAAAGTACATATTTATGCATTATCAACAGCACCTC